AGGCACCAGAAAGAGTAGTAAAAGATAGTGAATTATTTTTATTCAGTTAGATATAATTTTCCATTTTATACCATGAACAATATTCTAATTGTTAGATAAACAATTATTAAATAAAACCAATATATCATAATAATCACAAAAATCATTATTTCTACAGAAGACAACAATAGCAAACTATATGATATTTTTCACAATTTTGTGAGGGAGATTTATAGTATCATTTGTTTTAAAGATTTGTGATTTGTTGTGGAGAGGTTAATTAATAAAAACTATATGATATTTTTCAGGATTTTGTGAGGGAGATTTATAGTATCATTTGTTTTAAAGATTTGTGATTTGTTGTGGGCTTTTTCATTTAAAATAAATATTCACTTTTGTACCTAATTTTGTTTTTTGTACTTTGGTATTCTTTTTCTCAAAGAGCTTCTGCAAATTTTAAGAACACTGCAGTTCAAGAGAAGATTCTACAAACTTCCAAAGAGAAAAAAAAAACCCTAATTGTCACTTACAAAAAGTATCAGGAATCAGAATGGCTTTGGACTTTTCAATATCACTGGAAGACAGAATTTAATAGAGAAAGGCCTTCATACTTCTAGCAAGAAGTAATTTCCAACATAGAATGTAATACGCTGAGAAAGCCTCAATCAAATGAGAGAGAAGAAAAACTTTTTCTGACTGGTATATAAGGTCTCAAAATTTTTACCATTTACCTTATTTCAGGAAAGTACTAAACAATGTGTTTAAGTATATTTAAACTTGTGTATACAGGATATGACTTAACTCTGACACACTTTTATTTCCAAAAACTATGTCTCTTTGATGTAGGTTGTACCCGATAGACTTTGCCAGAAATATCATGCAGACACAATTGGCATTTTTCAGCAGTAGCAGCCAATATACAAAGTCCTCTGAAGTGAAACGACAAAGGTTACCTTACCAGCTACATTCTCTAATAAAGTTACTGTTTTAAAGAAAAATTTGTATAAGAAATGGAGTAAAAAAAGCATTTACATACAAAAACTGGCTGGTAAAAGCAAGACAAAAACTTCAAATTTAATTTGTGATTGGAAGAAAAAACATTTTCTGAACTTTTATTCTGGTTTGAAGTCCTCTGGCATGAAGAGCGGAAACATCCTGCAAAGCAAAAGGGCGACTGAATATTATTGTAGGAGCAATGAATGTGTTGCATTTAATTGCTAATGTCTGGCAAAACATCAAAAAGAATAGGATAACAGAGAAAACAGAGCAAAGGATAGACTTGGAAGGAGAGACTGCAGTGGATCAGCTTCTTTGTCTCATTGTCAGCCATCAAGTCCCTGCCTGTGTTTCATTCAATCCAAGGATTGCAAATTATTACAAAGGAAAGTTTTCACAGTTCTTTCCTTCATTTGCTTAGGAGGCAGAAGACTATCAGAGGAATAAGGGACAAAAAATATTTACAATAAAAAATCTATTTGTCATTAGAAATAAGTTAACTGAATCAATTTCACTTATAATCATTGACAGATATTTTAAAAATTGGCAGTTATTTAATAATTATTAACTAATAAAATATTATACTGGAGTTTAGCTATAGCAATGTGGACTATAGCTGAAGTAATCTAAAATTTACTATGCTACTGATATTTTATGTGACCACAAATTACGTATGAACAATTTTACGTTTAATTTCATGTTCATAATTCTGAGAAGTCTAGAAAGTATTTTGGTAGGGTCGTCAACAGTGCTGTATAATAAGTTAGGGGTAATTTTGTTTAGAATTTATTGAGGACAATCAAGTCCCAGTGTTGAATTATTAAAAAAAAAATGTTGACCTTAAACTTGAATAATAAAATAAGGATTTTAAAAATTTGAGATAATGTTAAGCTAAACCTAGACCATGAAAAAACAGTTTTTAAATAAGAATTGTTAAAACCTAAAATGGAAAAAGCTGATATTTATTGAGCCCTTACCCTGTGCCAGGCATTATGCAAAAAGTGCTTGACATACTTTTAATATCCTAATTTATAGGTGAGAAATTGAGGATATAAGATGCATTTCTATAGTAGAGAAGCAATAAAGTGATAATGAATTAACTGAGGTTAATGTGTTATTCAAAGATTTTCACAGTTCTTGTTTGTGAAAAAAATAAGCTTATTGAAATTCAGGACTGGAACACAAAAATAACATCTCTTGATTTTTCTTTCGCATTTATGCATTCATAAAGTTTATTAGTATTTTGCAAATTCTTGCATAAGTATTTCTGATCTGACACCAGTCACAATTATATTGTACCTTTACCTATTTTCTGAGAGGAGGGATTTTATTCTTTCCTTTTATTCTTTCACTTATTTTCTCCTTTTCATTTCTCCCTAGTTCATTATTTCTTTTAAATCGTTCACATTTTGTACTTCCTGCCCGCCGGTCTTCATTCATACAACGCCAGGTGCTTAATTTTAAAATCTTATTCAAAATGGTGCCACGTCATCTGCCAGGGCCAAGAATCCAGAGGTGCTGTCATATTTCTCCTTGCCAGCGTGGATCTCTTCCGAGCCCCGCCCTCTTCTCCTCACCTGCTTCCTGGGGAATGACACAGAGGCCGCTGTCACAAGCTCTGGCCTAGGGCTCCCTCCCCCACGGCCTCGGCCCCCTCCCCCTCGCCCTGGGACCGTTCCGCCCCTCCCGGATCCCGGCCGGCAGAGCGCATTTATTTGCATATTTCTACCTTTGTTCCCTGCCAGCGGCCAATCAGCGCGCGGGGCGAGACGGGAGGCTGGGCGGGGCTCGGGCTCTGACTCCAGCTGCTGCGGCCGCAGGTTCCAGAGCGGGTCTGAGCCGCGGCGGGCGTACAGCACTCTGCAGCCCCAGGCCCCGGCCCCCTACCCGCGTCCGCGTTGCTGCCCCGCCTCGGCCGGGCCCTAAAGGCAAGGACAAAGCAGCTGCCCGGGAAGCTCCGCAGGAATCGAATTTACGTGCAGCTGCCGGCAATCACAGGCTCCAAGATGGTTTGCGGGGGTTTCGCGTGTTCCAAGAACTGCCTGTGCGCCCTCAACCTGCTTTACACCGTGAGTACCCCGACCCCGTTCCTACCCACCTAGGGGCTTTGCACCTGCTTGCGCGCTCCTTGGCTTCCCTGCCTGGCCAGCGACTTACTGGCTGCATCCGCGCCCCCTTCCCGTCTTCCCACGCTGTGCGCGCCCCGGGCCTCGCCATCAGTCCCCGGCCGGGGACCAGGAGCGGGCGCTTGTCGCAGTCTCTTCCTTTTCCTTCATTGTGAAGCAGCAGTCTTTCAGGCTCGCTGGCCGCGTCTCTGCCACATTGCTCCACCCCGCCCCCTCACCCACCGCCTTGTTTTTCAGACATTTAACCAGACCTTCCCACTTCGCGATCTTTGCTGCTGCTCGTGCCTAGCTTCCAAGCCCATTTGGGGCGGCTTTGGGGGCAGGAGAGCAGCCTCCGGTTTGCGGACAGTTTTGCAGAATAGCGCGGTCTGAAACTGATGAGGCGGCATATGAATGGTCTGCTTCTGGGTTAGTTAGCTCTACGTGCTCTTGTGATTTTAATTGAGGCCACTGAGTAGGTTCACAGGATATCCGCTGCTTCCGAAGTTTGTTTCGTGCTTACAATACAGGGATGTCTTTTTGCTATTGTTGTTGCCAGTTTTGCTCCTCCTTGATGCTTTTTCCATGTGCCTGCTCCCTTATCAATAGCCTAACTCCATTTTAAACGAAGTCCTCCAGTAAATAAGCAAGCCTCCACCCAAGTCGTTTCTTTCCCCGCTAGCCAACTGGGGCCTTTGGGTTCTACCGCCGCAGGCTATCTTTGTAATTTTCGAGGCGCAATTCTGGGTGAACAGGATGGGGAGGACCGATTGGCGTATATTGAATGTCTACCACGTCCCAGGTTTCACATACACAATGTTCATTCGTTATCTGATAACCATCCGAGGACAGGGGCATTGTCTAAATTTTAAACATAAGGTAACAGCCCAAAAAGGATTTTAATAAGTTTACATAGCTAGAAGTTGGCGAGTCAGGAGGGGAGCCTAGGCTGTAGAATCCAGATCTTTCCACAGGCTGCCTCTACGGGGGTGGGGGCAAGGGCAATAAACTTCCTCTTCTGTCATCCTTCCATCATAGTCTTGCTCCCTTCTATAAATACACCTGACGCTTTGCAGCACCCACCCTGAAAACAAACCCAGCACCCCTGCATTAGTGAAGAGCTGGGCCATCTGTGCAAGCTTAGGTTACATCCTTGGAATAGAGAGGCTGCCTTGTGGTCACCAACAGGAGAGAGAGCCTGGGTCATTTTACCATTACCGTTCCTTTGTATGTGAACATGATTGCAAAGCTTTGAAGGCAAGACAGAAACAGGCATAGAGTATGCTTTCCTGGCTAGTTAGAAGGAATTTAGTCAACATGGTCATTAATGGTACTTACGGGGCAAAAAAATTCTAGAACATTTGGTGAGACAGTTCCTTGGAGATACATGTCAAGTTTCAGATCAGAATCCATCTTTGTCTTACCTGATGCATGCTTATCACATTGGCTGTTTATTAAGTAAATGCTGACCAATTTTCCAGTTTTTTTTTTTTAATCAATGTGACTGGCCTGCTTAGAACTTCAAATTTCCTATTTTTGTGCCCTGACCTCTGTTTTTTGTTGTTGTTGTTGTTGTTTTTCCTGTCAATGATTTAGTCATCTGTTTGCCAGGCACTGAAAGTGTCTGCTTACACACGGTAGAATGTCTACTTTGTGTATTTACGTGACTAAAGTGTCTATATAGATTAATGTGCAATATTTTTTTTAAAAGGCAAGTTATTTTTAAATCAAGTTCCATTGCTTTCAAGATACATCATTTTTAGTTGTATTTACAGTGTATCAGGAAAGTGAGATGAAAAAAAGGTGATCTAAAGAGGCATATTAAGACTATTAATATCTATTCTAAATTATTGACCTTCAAAGTGTATTCTATTGATTTTAATAGCTATGCAATAAAACTTAATGAATTGGAAATTCATGGGACTATAAAAATGGTTAATCCTTTTAAATCATAAACTTTTTAGACAAAGGGACATTTCTTACAATGAATAGTGGCTACTTCTTATACATTGTGCATAGTCTTAAATAAGTTCAGCAGTTTAAAGTGGAGGCAAATGGCAGGTAAAAGTTGGACCAAGTCTTAAATAGATGCTGAAAATGTGTCATAGCTGTTATTTAGATTCTTTATCTTCCCTGGTCTCTCCTTCAACATTTTAAGATGAAAAAAAATGTGAAGTGGTTGAGGGTGGGGTGGAGCTTGAGGACCTGGGAGATATTTCTTTATAAATCGTGAATAGAAGGCCCCTTCGTAGATTATAATCTCACCCTGGTCACTGCCTATACCCAAAGCTACAAGATTAGGTCTCAGGTCATTTCTAGAAGTGTTGGTAAAGCCAGGATTACCTGCCAGGAATGGCAGGTATAAAGGCCACGGCTGCCTTCAACATCATTACTGTTGTGGTGAAGCATTTTCCTGAGGAATTTAGGACTCTCCCAGCTGAACTGTCTGCATGCTCAGGTGGCCCAATTATGAGTCCAAGATTTGTGCTAGATTCATGATCAGTCCAGAAACCATGTCAATAAAACAAGTTGGAAGTCTGAAACCTGTCATGGAAATTTGATCACTAGACAGTGGTTAAGAGTTGATTTTTGTTTTTGTTTATGGCTTGGTTGTTTTAGTTAACAGGATCTCTAATACTGGACAACTTTAAATTAGTGCAGTGTATGTTAACAATTTGTAAGTATACAAGGAGAAGGGGAAGGTATAGCCCCTTATTTCACCTTCATGGTGTTCTAAGAGAGGGAAGAACTTCTCTCAGAGCTTCTTACATTTAAAGAAACTGAAAGTTTCTTCCATTCAACAAATATTTATCGTGTGCCTACTACGTTCTCTCTTGTATGCCTACAAGCTCTGTTCTCAGTTTGGAAATGCAACACCGAACCAAATAGGGTTAATAATCAATATGCTTTTATGAAGCTTTTTAAAAAAATTTACTATTAATACTTTTTTTACATACGATCTCAAGAACTGTATTTAGTCAATAAGCACTTGCCTACTGTGTGCACTCTGCTGAGAACTGTGGGAAATAATAATTAAATATAAAGGCAAACGCCCTGTGAAGACAGGATCTAGTTGGGGGACATGCAGTGGGAAAATTAAATGGTATATAAAGGATATATTGACTTTTCGTGCCATAAAATTTAGGGCTGGGGGAGATCTTTGGTTTAGAGAAGTTGGAGGAATAAAGAATGTGTGATTGAATTGGGGGAATGTAGAAATAGTGTGTGGATCTTTTTGATACCATTTAGGATATAAATAAAAATTAAAACAATTTTGGGAAAATGATTTATTTTCAATGTTATTTTTATATGAATAATTTAGGTTGAAAATATTTGACAAATAGCAAAAAAGGACTTTTAAAACTATACTTAGTGACTTGTGGAGAATTTAGGAACTATGAAATAAATGTTATATTAAAATATGTAACATTTTAAAGCTTTGTAATACATCTGCTTGTGCTTCTTAACCAGAGAAGAAAGCTCTATTTTTTCAAAAAAGTATAATCTGTCATGGGATTAATTGTTTAAAAAATGGTAGCTGACTTCGTTAAATAAAACCAAACTGAAAATTATGACCAAAAATGTATTTACTGGGACTTTAAGAGTTTCACTGCCAGTTTTAT